TGCTGGGAAAACCTAAAAGCAAAAATCATGAAGTAGTAAGGATTTGTAGGGGGGAGAGGGGTATTGCAATCGATTAAGATGATAGCTTGTGGCATCACCAGTACATGACCTTGGTATAAATCTCGTTAGATTACCATGGAGACCCCAAAAATAATAACGAAACAAAATTTACCCTTCAAAAACTTGTGTGATATATTTGAATCTGTTTAACGGCACTATACTTGCAAATATCTGGTATAGCAAACAACTTTGATACTATTTGACCACTCTAAAACCTGTGTGTGATGTTTTTTTTGAAAATTTCTAGAAATCAAGAGAAAATATCGGGAGAGAAAGAAGATATAGACAGATCGCGGAGAATTCTAGTCAAAAGAAAACCTCCGGCAAATATTAATAAAAACTCCAAACACGATACCTTTATCAAGCCTGGAGAAAAACCGTAAGTTATCTTTATTTTGTGTAATCAAAGACGTAGAGGAACCAGACCCTTGCTGGCTAGTCTAGATGTCTGGAATTCCATCCTGAAGCAGTGATTGATCAGTGACTTAAATCTTGCTCGCTAACCTGAAGGTCAAGGGTTCAAGCCCCAGCATAGTTCAAGATAATACCTTCAGATTTTTCAACCTGGTTTCCCCCTGTCAGTGAGTTAGACGCTTGCTTGCTAACCTGAAGGTCCAGGATTCAATCCCAGCATAGGTTGAGATAATACCTTCAGATTTTTCAACCCTGTTTCCCCCTGACAGTGATACAAGTAAGAGAGGCTGACATGGAAAAAGCGTCTAGTTGTTCAGATGGGACAATAAACTGAGGCCCCGTGTGCTACAGGCTGTACATGTTAAAATCCCTCGACAGTTGGAAATCGAAATAGAGTAGGCCTACACCGCTGTCCTGACAAAATTTCCCTCATTGCACACTGCATGGCGTAGGTTGGATGAGGGTTAAAGATCTCTGGACAGTTGGAAATTGATACTAATGACAAAATTTCCCTCATTGCACACTGCATGGCGTAGGTTGAATGAGGGTTAAAGATCCCTGGACAGTTGGAAATTGATACTAATGACAAAATTTCCCTCATTGCACACTGCATGGTGTAGGTTGAATGAGGGTTAAAGATCCCTGGACAGTTGGAAATTGATACTAATGACAAAATTTCCCTCATTGCACACTGCATGGTGTAGGTTGGATGAGGGTTAAAGATCCCTGGACAGTTGGAAATTGATACTAATGACAAAATTTCCCTCATTGCACACTGCATGACTATATTTTCAGGTTGTCAATCATAGAATATTATGAACAAGATGAAATATTGAAGTTACGTCAAGCAGCATTAAAGAAAGAAGATGCAGATCTTCAACTAGAATTAGAGAAATTGGAACGAGAGCGAAATCTTCACATTCGAGAATTAAAACGAATACATAATGAAGATAATTCTCGGTGAGTAATGTATTTTGTTTTTTTACATCTTTAAATTGGGAAAATTTGGTGAGGTCCAAGGAAAATAAGCTTCAATAAATTTACAAGACAAACAGAGCCTTAAACTAAATTTTTTAGTTTTATTATCCAGATTACTGTATTTCTTAAAAGAGATTGTAAAGAGGGTTTCTAAATTTTTTATAGGCCCGTTTACCCGAGATGGACTTGGACCCGCGGATTTACTGACTCGTGTTGACTCCGGAGATCAAAATTTAGAAAACCTCTTTACAATTCCTTTAAAATCTAGATTTTATAATGGTTTTTGAGAATTTAGGCCCAAGTTTTAAAATATTTATGACTTTGTTATCTATTTGTTGTGACTTTGTTATCCATTGTGATGTTGTTATATTTGTTATGACGTTGTTATCTTTCTATTTATAGGTTTAAAGAACATCCAATACTAGCTGAACGTTATTTATTATTAAGTTTATTAGGGAAGGGAGGTTTTAGTGAAGTTCATAAAGGTTTTGACCTGAAGGAACAACGATACGTCGCGTGTAAAATACATCAGTTAAATAAAGAATGGAAAGAAGATAAAAAAGCCAATTATATAAAGTAAGATGTTTTCTCTTTGTCGTGCAAAATTTTGTCGTGATTAAATGGAGCAGAAAATGTCGTGATTTTTAACAGGGTTTAATTAAAGGGACACATGTGCCATTTTGGGGGTTGATTTGAGTGATTAGACACATGTGGATTTGAAGGCTCAAGACGGCCTTTTTGAACATTTGTCAGTTTGATGAGACTGTCAGCCCATCAAATTCCTTTCCTCTTCAACGCTGTGATTTTGTGACACGAACAAAAAATGAAATTCATGTCTAATGCTTCTCGGAATACATTGTTTTTATTTCAAAATATCCATCATTGTTCACTGCAGAAAAGTTTAGAACCATGGGTGTTTTTTTAACTTTAAGTGATACTACGTCTTGGAATGAACATAAAATTTAATTCTTAAGAATGGTCAATATGAGTATATATTCATCAGTAAACTTACCTGGTGTCATAAAGTTACAACAGAATCCCTGTCAAATCTAGAAAATTGGAAAATTTATAAAACTAAGTAATATTATCATATTAAGTGTTTTTCAATAGTTAATTGCATTTTTATTAAGTTTTTTTTGATTTATCAGATTATATAAGGATCCTGTTATGTTATTTATAACACCAGGTATATCTACTGGCTCTTATTCGCCAAGTTTAAAATTCTTCAATTTTATGTTCATTCTAGATGTAGTATTCCTTTAATACATTTATTTATTTCTTTAAATTTTCCCCCATTCTCCACTGCAAGGTGTTAATTATATAATGTTTTTTTCTCTCTAGACATGCACTAAGAGAATATAATATACATAAGAGTTTAAACCATCCTCGTATCGTTAGACTTTATGATGTATTCGAAATAGATAATAATTCGTAAGTTTTCATATTTTCTTCATTTTAAGCCCATTGGGAATTGTGAATGTGTATTTCCCTTGCCCTTCCCCTTCCCCTTGGGATGGGACAATAAACTGAGGCCCTGTGTGTACACGTTAAAGATCCCTCGACAGTTGGAAATTGAAAAAGTGTCTAGTTGTTCAGATGGGACAATAAACCGAGGTCCAGTGTGCTACAGGCTGTACACGTTAAAGATCCCTCGACAGTTGGAAATCGAAAAAGTGTCTAGTCGTTTAGATTGGACAATAAACCGAGGCTCTGTGTGCTACAGGCTGTACACGTTAAAGATCCCTCGACAGTTGGAAATTGAAAAAGTGTCTAGTCGTTTAGATTGGACAATAAACCGAGGCTCTGTGTGCTACAGGCTGTACACGTTAAAGATCCCTCGACAGTTGGAAATCGAAAAAGTGTCTAGTTGTTCAGATGGGACAATAAACTGAGGTCCTGTGTGTTACAGACTGTACACGTTAAAGATCCCTCGACAGTTGGAAATAGAAAAAGTGTCTAGTTGTTCTGATGGGACAATAAACTGAGGTCCTGTGTGTTACAGACTGTACACGTTAAAGATCCCTCGACAGTTGGAAATCAATTAATAATTGGCTTATGCTGCTGACCAAGCAAATTTTCCTTCATTGCACACTGCATGGTGTTGCTCAATTCAGTGCATAAACTTAATTTGAGCTACATGCTTTGATCTTTTGACAAAAGTTCCATGAGAAACTTATGAAGAATAGTGACACCATGCAGTGTCCAAAGAGGGAAATTTAATGGCTACTTTTTTATTGTTTTTTTCTACATTCAATATCTTAAGAGCTTGTAGCACAATGAAAACTCATAAAAAAAATAGCGAAACCATGCAGTGTGCAATGAGGGAAATTTTTTATCTATTTTTTTTTGTAGATTTTGTACAGTGTTAGAATATTGTGAAGGCAATGACCTTGACTTTTATCTTAAACAAAATAAAAGTATTCCAGAGAAAGAGGCGCGGTCGATAATCTGTCAAACTGTCAGTGCTTTAAAATATCTCAACGAGATTAAACCACCTGTGATACATTACGATTTAAAACCTGGTACGTATATTCCCTACCCCCCATTCTTACTCCCCTACCCCTCATCATCACTCCCCTACCCCCATCATCACTCCCCTACCCCCATCATCACTCCCCTACCCCTAGTCATCACACCCCTACCCCTAGTCTAGTAAAATATCTTAACGAGATTAAACCACCTGTGATACATTACGATTTAAAACCTGGTACGTATATTCTCTACCCCCCATTCTTACTCCCCCACCTCCCATCATCACACCCCTACCCCTAGAATAGTAAAATATCTCAATGAGATTAAACCACCTGTGATACATTACGATTTAAAACCTGGTACGTATATTCCCTACCCCCCATCATCACTCCCCTACCTCCCATCATCACTCCCCTACCCCTAGTCTATTAAAATATCTCAACGAGATTAAACCACCTGTGATACATTACGATTTAAAACCTGGTACGTATATTCTCTACCCCCATTCTTACTCCCCTACCCCTCATCATCACTCCCCTACCTCTAGTCATCACACCCCTACCCCTTGTCTAGTAAAATATCTCAACGAGATTAAACCACCTGTGATACATTACGATTTAAAACCTGGTACGTATATTCCCTACCCTCATCATCACTCCCCTACCCCTAGTCATCACTCTCCTACCCCTCATCACAGTCTGAAGAAAAGACTAGTCATCATTTTAACTTTCAAACGTAGATAATTCTAGATACACATGGATTTGAAGTCTCAAATTTCGACAGTGAGCTGTGAACACTATTACTGATTAGCTTAGCTAAAATATTCCTGTCTCTGAGACTAAAGTATGATTGGTTAAACAAATGGTGAACCTGTCTCTTTAGCTGTTTTTTGACTATCCTAACTACGTATTTTTATTATTTTTATAGGTAATATTTTATTGGGAAGTGGGTCTGTTAGTGGAGAAATAAAAATTACTGATTTCGGTCTAAGTAAGATTATGGATGATGAGTTTTATTCTCCAGATATCGGAATGGATCTTACCTCTCAAGGGGCTGGTACATACTGGTAGGTTCTTTTAATTTCTATACTATTGAAAATCAGAAGAATCCAAAAATATTTAGTATGAGTTATTGCCCTTGATCATGAAAACGCGTTCAATTTTTTCTCTAGAAGGCACAATTCTTGACGGATTTTGATGAAACTTGGTGTGAGTGTTTGTTATCACCCAAGGATGAACCCTATTAAAAATCAGAAAAATCGAAAAATATTTAGTATGAGTTATTGCCCTTGATCATGAAAACGCGTTCAATTTTTAGCCTGTAAACACTCTATAAGGTTCAATTCTTGACAGAATTATTTATTATTGATATCTAAGATGGGTTATATTTTGCAATAATGAATCGTTAATTTTGTTAATTTTTCAGGTATTTACCTCCAGAGTGCTTTGTAGTTGGTAAAACACCACCTAAGATTTCGTCTAAAGTTGACGTTTGGTCAGTCGGTGTTATATTCTATCAATGTC